GGGTTTTTTTTTTTTTTTTTTTTTTGATAAATTTAATTAATTTATTTTTTTTTTATGCAGAATTCCCAGAAAAAAAATCACAACTGTTGCATTTGATAGGATTTTTCAATAATAATATTATTATTAGAATATTACAACGTTGTTTATTTACATGTAAATTTATTAGAGACTGAAATTAAAAATAAAATATTAGGAATGCTGTAATTATACCGAAATTCATATAAAATATTATTATTTATTATACCGAAACTACGGATAAACTCGTTATAAAGGTTTCGCAAATTTTGGCAGTTTCGCAAGTTTTGGCAGTTTCGCAGTTTCACAGTTTCGCAGTTACGGTACTATATGTGGAGTTTCTCCTTTTGGCATTAGGCCAAATAGGTTTCGGCAGGCAACCTTAACCTCGCTTACTTATAATAAGGGTTACCATAGAAAATTAACCCTTTATTAATAATTTTTATCTTACTTTTTTCTTAAATTCTATTGGTTAATTAGCTAAAAAGGAAAAAAATCATAACAATGTTATATAAAATTTCCTTTTATAGTAAAATCTGCAAAGAATTTTATATATGATTTTTATCTTAAGCCTGAGGGTGACCTATCTTATAAGTAAGTGGGATCCTATTTTAAGCCATTATTTAGATTACTTTTTAATTATAAATTTTCAAATAAATTCAGTTAAATTTTAATTTCAAATTTAATTATAATTTATTAAATTTTTAAAATACATTTACTTATTATTTAACAATTCTATAAAAATAAATTATATCTCTTTTAAATCTTCTTATTATAACATATTTAATAATAGTAAATTTATATTTTTATTATTAATATATAATACAATAATTATTTGTAATTATTTAATATATATAAAATGCATTTTTACAATAATTGGTTAATATTAATACTAAAAATATAATTTTACTACTTTTAGATTTCTCTTATTAAGACAAATCCAAAGATATAAATTTTATTAAAATTTATTTAATAGATTTTTTAAAAATAAGAGTATATAAAATAATAAATTTTGAAAAAATATTTCTATAATATGTAATTTTAATTAGAATTAATATATATATAATTTTTACATATGTAAATTTTAATGTAAATTATATTAAAGGTATTTGAAATTTTATTTCAATAATCTATGATTTATTTTTATTAGATTGTTAAGTAAAGAGTATTAAAATTTATTTTAAAAATTTTAATAAATTATAATTAAATTTGAGATTAAGATTTGCTAAATTTATTTAAAGATTTATATTAAAAAGTAATGTAAACAATAGTTTAAAATTAAAAAAATATATATAATAATATTTTACTATCCTTTAAACTATAAGCAATTGCAGGTAAATTTGCCTGTAATTTTACTAAATTTCAGCTCTCATCTAATTTTATGAAAAATAAAGTAATTTTAATTAAATTTTTTTCCAAAATAATTTAAATTATATATTATGCAGCAATTATTATCATTTATAATAAATTATATATTAGAAAATCAAAAATTATCCATTGGTTAAAAGTTGTATTTTAAGATAATCACAAATTTTTAAAAAACTTTGCATTTAACTTTAATGATTTTATTGATAATTAATTGTAATTATATAAAAGCTTAATAGAATATGTAGAATTTGGTATAAGAAATAACTTTTATTAATATAATTTTGAGTAAGATTTTGACTTTATATAGAACTTAAATTAATTATATACTATTAAAAAATATTTTTTTTTATTTTTATTTTGTTTATTATAATGCAAAATTTTTATAATAAAAATAAAAAGTTATAATAAATATTCAAATAGAGAAAAAATATGGTAAGAAAAGTTTAGATTTTATTATATAAAAATTCTAATACTATTTTCGCAAGTTAATTTTTCGTCTAATTTTAATGATTAATCACATATCTAATTCATATAATTTATAACTAAAATGTAGATCAATTTGACTGCAAAATTATGTGACAATCTGAATAAAATTAAAGGCATCATTTATCCTAATTTAGAAATTGCAACAAATTTGCCTGCAAAATGGTTTAAAGGATAATATATTAATTAAAAAAAAATTTTTTTTTAATAATGTTAGATTTTAATCTTTAATTATTAAAAATATATAAATACTAAAATACAATAGTTGCAAAAATTATATTAATATTTTATTAATTTTTTAATTGATTTACTATAATAATTTTTTAATATTATATATTAGTATTTTTTATTAATTTTAAATAAATTATAAATTAATTATTAAACCAGTTTTTATAAAATTTAAAACTTTTTTTACTTTTAATTTATAATTCTGCAAATTATTATATCAGTATATATTTTAATTTTTTTTTTATCACAGTGCATTTGCAGTTTTATAAAAAGAAATTGTATATAAAGTATAGTATAGTTACTACCACTATAGTTACATTCTTGTATATAATCATTTTAGTTGAATGTCCTGAATTTTCATATATAAAATCTATCATCTATAGTCACATTTTACCTATAATCACTATCACTCTTATTTTAGAAAATCTAATAATTAAAACATATCGTTTATAATCACAATCACATGAAAATGTTAAAATTGATTTATTACTTAAATAAAGAACGTGAACACGTACCTTTTTTTAAAACAAAAAAGTTTAGTGTATTTCTACTTTCTATTAAACCAAAAAAAATTATCTAAAAATATTACTTTAAAAGTAATACTATATGTTACCTTTAAGGTTCACAAAAAAAACAT